TTTAGAGAAGGATGTTGCCATTTCAACTTGACTCACCCTTTTGTGGGCAAGGCAGGGGTAAAATTTGGAGAAGGAAGTGGTCATTCCAAGTTGACTCTCCCTTTGGTGAGCCACCCGAGGGTAAAATTTAGAGAAGGATGTTGCCATTTCAACTTGACTCACCCTTTTGTGGGAAAAGGTAAAATTTAGAGAAGGATGTTGCCATTTCAACTTGACTCACCCTTTTGTGGGCAGGGGTAAAATTTAGAGAAGGAAGTGGTCATTCCAAGTTGACTCACCCTTTGGTGAGCCACGCGAGGGTAAAATTTAGAGAAGGATGTTGCCATTTCAACTTGACTCACCCTTTTGTGGGCAGGGGTAAAATTTAGAGAAGGATGTTGCTCTTCCAAGTTGACTCACCCTTTGGTGAGCCACCCGAAGGTAAAATTTAGAGAAGGATGTTGCCATTTCAACTTGACTCACCCTTTTGTGGGCAAGGCAGGGGTAAAATTTAGAGAAGGAAGTGGTCATTCCAAGTTGACTCACCCTTTGGTGAGCCACCCGAGGGCAAAATTTAGAGAAGGATGTTGCCAATTCAACTTGACTAACACTTTTGTGGGCCATGCAGGGGTAAAATTTAGAGAAGGATGTTGCCATTTCAACTTGGTCACCCTTTTGTGGGCAGGGGTAAAATTTAGAGAAGGATGTTGCTCTTCCAAGTTGACTCACCCTTTGGTGAGCCACCCGAGGGTACAATTTAGAGAGGGATGTTGCCATTTCAACTTGACTCGCCCTTTTGTGGGCAGGGTAAAATTTAGAGAAGGAAGTGGTCACTCCAACTTGACTCACCCTTTTGTAGGCCATGCAGGGGTAAAGTTTAGAGAGGGAAGTGGCCATGCCAACTTGACTCACCCTTTTGTGGACCCATGCAGGGGTAGAATTTAGAGAAGGATGTTGCCCTTCCAAGTTGACTCACCCTTTGGTGAGCCACCCGAGGGTAAAATTTAGAGAAGGATGTTGCCATTTCAACTTGACTCACCCTTTTGTGGGCAAGGCAGGGGTAAAATTTGGAGAAGGAAGTGGTCATTCCAAGTTGACTCTCCCTTTGGTGAGCCACCCGAGGGTAAAATTTAGAGAAGGATGTTGCCAATTCAACTTGACTAACCCTTTTGTGGGCCATGCAGGGGTAAAATTAAGAGAAGGATGTTGCAATTTCAACTTGACTCACCCTTTTGTGGGCAGGGTAGAATTTTGAGAACAATTTGGTGACCCTCGGGTGGGTAAAATTTAGAGAAGGATGTTGCCATT